TCATTGCTACCTATGCTACCTTCATCGGCACTAAACCGCTGTTCAACAGCGAGAACAGTAATAACAGTGGTGGCAGTGGTGGGATCCACTGCTGCAACAGCAGCAGGAATGTACTGTGCGTCTGTGGGACTATCAAATTGGGCCTTAACAGTCGTCTCGACTGACTGCAGCCATGGCTCTAACCTATTCGAACGACCGTCAAAAAGAAAGGTCGGGTATGGACGGTTAGCCGACCCACTAGTGGTCGAGAAGTGAGCCACGACTTGACCAACTGTCAGGGAAGCATCGCCCTCCCGCCGCGTGGTCACGCCAGCTGAGGCACCATTGCCAGCGTCAGCAGGAACTGGACTTGCGGTACGGCCACTGCATGTCTTAGTCATGACGTCAACTGTTCAAACGCAAAGCAGGTCACAAAGAGGGTAAACAGGCCAGAGAAAGAAATGGTATGCACTTGCTACAATTCAACACGGAGTCAGAGAGAACACAGCTCCATGGTACTAGGTAAACTGCTTAGTGATGGAAATAATTTGAGCGAAACAACAACAAAAAATAGTGGTACACTCTGAAACTCAAAATAAGAGATGTATGCGAGCGAATGAACTATGGGGGAGTACACAAAATGATGCTAAGAGTATTTAATAATTGCACCAGGAGACTGGCAACAAAATTTATGAAAAAGGAATTGAATTGTAAACACTGGTAGCAAAAATTGCAAAAAAAATTCAAAATAAATCAGGTGTTACACAACGCTAAACTGTGCTGCAAGCTTTCTCAACATGCCGAAAAAGGTTACAGGTACTGGCAGTTGCAATTTAATAAATGCCATAATGCAGAACCTTTGATCCAGATTTAACATTCACCAAGCGCCAGTAGCTCCACACCACCCTGCGAGTAATGGTCTTGCTGAATGTACAAATCGCAAAGTCCTGGAGGTGCTCAGGGTAACCGTTAACCCAAGTTGTACTACATGGGATTAGGCTATTCCAGATGTTCAGTGTACATTAAACTCCTCCCTCAACAGCTCGATCGGTGAGACACCTCATTTTGCTTTGTATGGCTATGACAAGCGCTTACCATACGAAATTCTGTTTGCTCCACCTCGACCTACTTATGATACTGATAACCCCAGTGTAGTAAAGATGCAGACAATGCAGCTTGTCTTCCAGCGGGTACGAGAGAACCTTACGAAAGCTACTGATAGCTTCACGTCTGAGCGCAATGCCCTCACCAAAGAAAGCAAAGTGGAACCAGGTTGTAAAGTTATGTTGCTCAACCCAGCTGTGAAGGCTTACTCAGCCCTGTAACAACTTCAGTCAGTATTACCAAGGCTGGCTCCTCCTCAGGAAAATTAATGAATAGAAAAAGAAATAATAACAGACAATGATAAACATTTTATTATTTAGAAATGGAAAATATAAAACAATAAAACATGAATGGGTATCCTAATTTAAAGAAAAATGAAAAATGAAATGAAAAAAAATTACATTTGAACTCAACGCTAATATAGGTATATCGTGGTAATGGTGTGTCAGGTGTTGGTGACACTGTGTTGAAATCGTAGCCGTTGCTGATGTGGGGGGGTAGCAGGTGTTGGTGACCACCACCGGCTCGTTCTTCACAGAGTGTAGCCGTGAGTAATTCCTTCAGATGACAGGAAAACAGGTTCATTACCACTGCTATGATGAGGGGTTAGGTCCTGCGTTGGCTTACATAACAGGTAAACAGATTAAACATGGGACGTCTCAGGACGTTAGTCCGTCTCCTTCTAGTCTTCTCGTTGGTTGGCAGGTGACCCTCTCTGTCATTCCAAGCTGTAAATAGAGACAGATTACCCACTGCTTAAGAAAAGTACAATACCTAAAAGATGTGGTGATTATTAAAACATTTAACTGATCAAGACTGAAAGGACTAAGTTAATTATTGGTCAAAAGTGAAGCTTTCAACTAATAAGTCTACTAAAATATGATCAGGCATGTACTTACAGTAGTGTTGGGAGTTGTGAGTCGAGTGATTCACTGTTTGACCGGAGCCCCACACATCACCTTTCAGGGTGGGGGGGGAAGAGAGAGGGGAAGGGATAGTGGGAGCTAGACTGACCCTACCTTAACAAGCAGCCGCAATCAAACTATCACTTTCGGGGAGGGGAAAAAAGGAGGGGGGGAATAGCGGGAGCTGGACTTACCCTACCTTAACAAGTAGCCGGCAATGAAACTATTGTTACTATACACTCCCTCGCTACTCCTATCTATTAAACTTTTCCCTCACACCAGCACAGACCCCAGGTATGCAGAAACTTGTCCCAAAATTCGTGGGTCCTTACCATGTCCTCCGACAGCTCCGTGGCAATAAGTTTGAGGTGAGGGAGATTGCTACTGGAACTATCAAAGAAGCCCACCTTGATCACATGAAGTATGTGGACCATGTGCAGGCCGAAGCAGAGCTGGAGTCGTGTGCATTGCAACGCCACAATCAGACCAATGCTAGGGACAACCTGTCTACCCCTTCTCCCACTACTACTGTTACTGAAGACAGCCCAGTAAGGCTCCATACTTATGGCCTGCGACCCAGGACAACAGTACATTTCTGTGACACTGATGTACCTACTGACTTGTCTGACTCCTATGCTAGTTATTTGCTTGCAGAAATGGGTAAAAATGTGCACACATTGTATAGCTAGTTGATAATGGAGTCAGGGTGGACAACATCATGTAACTTTGTAAATACTTTTAGAAGGGTACCCAGAGTATAATGAATTCCATGGATATAGTATTATTGTAGGTATGTGCACCCAGTGTCTTTTAAAAGCCAGTATTACAGTCAGGGCAGTGCTGCCCTCTGAGTCACATGTCACACCTTAGGAAATGCTACTGTCAGTCATTGTTTGCAGATGTGAGGGTGCAACAGCGTTTGTAGACGAGTGGTCAGCTGATGTTCAGCCCTGCGGACAACCTGTATATAGAAGATTTTAGTTCCAGTGCTGACGTCTGCAGGCTCTCTCCTCAATGAAACAGTGCGGGCAAGCCAGTTTTCTCTTCCCCTGGATGGGAGAGTTTTTTTTTTTTTTTTTTTGCCTGTTGCATTTTTATGTCCATTTTTGATTTACAAGTGAGCGAAAGCCAGTCCCTCTCTGGGGTAGCTAGTGTAAGTAATTCCTTTACACCTACGAGCCCACCAGTATTGTCGCTTTGGGACGACGTGAGGTGCATGGCCGAGCAAATGTAGACAGCCTGTACTGTCAGGACAGCCTAAGCCGTCTGTTCTGATTAGTTCATATTTCGCGGCATTTAAGTGCTGCCCTCTGTAGGCTCACCCAGGTCAGTGGGAGGCTGGGCCCATTCGCCCTCACTCCCCGGCCGACCGACTTGATAGGCACAAGTGCTCCCCCTCCACAGACTGGCTAGTGGTCATTCCCTCACATTGCTCGTTGTGTACTCACTCCTATCCAATTAAAGCCAAACTAGTCCGCGGCCGTATCATTGCTACCTATGCTACCTCCATCGGCACTAAACCGCTGTTCAACAGCAAGAACAGTAATAACAGTAGGGGTTGTGGCCTGCAAAGAGTACATAACCTTTATTTGGTGCATGTACACACCCTCATTGAAAGGCTGTCTCCCCCAACCAGCAAACTAGGTACTAAGGGTTGATGATGGGGCCCCGTCGTTCAATCAGTACCCAGGTTCCAGCCAATAAGAAGATTGTTTTGGCAATCGCAGAGGTGATGTGGGTACCACTCACCTGTCTTCCCTTATCATTCCCATTCTAGAGCTGGTTGAAGCATGGTCTGCTCTCTAGTGGCTTCTATTCTGCCTTGCTTACCGTGGAGTGCACTAATACCTATTGTTGTACATAGTGTATATAGTGTACATACTTCTGTTCTAAACTGGTGAAGGATAATACAAGTCAGAAGTTTTCTGCTGTGTTTATTTTGCTCCCTTTACATCCAGGATAACAGGCCTTTGGGACTCCTGGGTTGTAATAGGGGTTGTCCTACAAAGGGAAGGAGAGAGGGATTAAAGGAGGTTTTGTGTTAGTGGCTTAGACATTCAGCAAGCGAGCGTGAGCGTGTTAAATAAGAGTGAGTGGGTGGTTTCAATGACTTGAGGTGCTGTTTGAGTGTTAGCAAAATAACAATTATGAATAGATTCAGGAAAACCGGTTAGCCGGAGCTGATTCCCGGAGGTTGTAAGTACAATGCTGGCACTCTGAAGGAGGGGGTGTGGATATTTGCAGATTTGAACTGTAGTATCAATGCATATTTGTCAAGACAGTGATGCAGTGAGTCATAGTGAAAGTGTTCTTCTGTTACGGAACACCCAGCCTCTGTGAGAAACTGCCGGCGTGTTAATATTTCTCAGTATTTACACATTGTTCAGAGAACCTAAGTTTGATTATAACTCCGCATCCTGGTTTTCTTTAAGTGTGTTATCAGATATATGGCCAAGGTGCCTGCAACAAGTTACTACTTTAACATTATCTCTGAGTTTTATCTATAGAAATTACAGTGTCAGCAGCATTCTAAAGAGTAAATTCGTATTACAATTGTTGTATAAAATTAAAATCAGGTTTAACATGAAAAAATTAACGTACATTACAAGTGACAATTCAGAAATTTGTTCTTCATGAAGAATTTCTGATAATGTCTAACACTACCGCGTAAAAATTATTTGATACATTTTTACGCGTATGTTATGCATTCAACATGAAAAGGCCATGCAGTGTGAAAAAGTATAAACAAAGTTTGATTCCTCTCACTGAAGTCTCTCATTCCTCTGTGTACACACTGTCCTGGATACAGTGTAGATTACATGCTGAACCTAGTTGACACAAGTCTTACCTTACAAACATGTTTAATTATTACTATACAGCGATGACTGAAACACTGCACTGAGTCACAGAGGGAATCAGTTATTTTCCTATATAATGACCTTTAAGGTCAATAAATTTCCAGGTTCATGTGGTGAATACTTATAGTTTATTTATGTAAATAATAATATGAAGTGGCATTTCAATTTTTTTATATTTTATTTAAGACAATACAATACATTAAATAAATAAAAGAACACAGTATCGGATCTTCCACAGAAATTATAAGATTACATTGTCGAAATACACACTGAACGTTTAACTTTGTGCTGACACAAACTGTCCCTCATCCCCTGTGCATTATATCCCTTTACACATACGTTAAATACAAGATTACACAAGATTATACATTACATCAACCAAGATATATTACAATATGCATTAGTATTATTATAAACATAAAGGATCACTAAACCTACAATATGCATTAATATTTCAATTAGTATACTTATCACTAGAGTGACAGGTGTGTAATGTTATTTTTTTATATATTATTTAAAACAATACAATACAAGGTGGTATAAATATTTTAAAAAGGTATATGAAAATTGATTAATTCTCAGGAATCCCAAAATGACCCAAACACAGAATAACCACACCATGCATTATAGTGGTATTACACCCTCTCACACAGCACACCATTCGACACTCATTATCATACAAATAGTATTATTACCGATAGTGACTTAAAATTTTGTCACTTCCCCCCCCCCCCACACACACGCACACCAAAACAAACATCCTGGATTATCATTAAGCAAGAAACATATTTAATAAGTCTTACCAGCATTGGTGATACAGGAACAAATCATACGAATAACGTACTCTTGACGTATTTGAGAACATGACATACTTAAATACAGTGACCTCAACCAGGCCATATAAATGCATTGCAAGTGATTATTAACATCACTAAGAACATTGTAACAATGAAGTTCTCAAAGGCTACCTACGTACATGTTTATTTATCAGTTAAACCCTAACATTACCACATAACATATAAAACTGAACTAGGTCACAGTAATCATCAGTATAGAAAGCTTCTATAGCACATGAACATACCCATACCCTAATGCTACGTTACCACACACTTAACGAATGACGCACCATTTGTCATACCAGGTGCTTAACCAATTCACCAACCTAAAACCGCTATTTTGTTGAACATCAATGAAATGTACATGGAATAAATGTTGCACAGGACTGTACTTAACACCGAGATCCCAAGGAAACACAACCAGAGGTTAAAATTAAGCTATTACATACCTCAAACCGTTACTCATTCATTCCCCTCACACACAACACCACTTCGCTGCTGCACTACCTTACCCACATCCCTCGGAAGGAGACCAACCCCTTGCCCGCCCCCTGGGTTCTGAAGGAGGCTACCCACAGTGAGGTTCCGGTAACCCTCCGAGAACCTGGTTTCCCAGCGCCCCCGTAGACTAGTCTATTCCTACACATCGTTCTGTAAAACCTCGCCGCTAACGCATTGATCCTGAAATCCCCCTTTACCTCCCTCATCCCCCAAGAAACATAAATAATTCATCATTACATACATCAAAGCCCTTCCCACATCCCCTGACACCCCACTTACATCCAACAACAAAACCCTAAGGAACGACCAACTCCCTCCCCCCAACATTCTGAAAACACCCCCCATCCATGAAAGCACCCTCTCCAGAGAGGGACAAAAATATACTGCATGAAAAGCCGTTTCGATGTCCCCACATTTGATGCAGCTCATCCTTAGAGGCCAAAATTCCCATTAGAAATCGATATACCAACTCCTGTACCCTCGCTGGTATCCTAAGCAACCTAAAATCTCTCCATATGAACTGCCAGTTATACGATGGGTATACAATGACCCCTTGTAAAACACTGTGAGGGCAAAAGTTCAATAGATAGGAGTAGCAATGAAGTATATAGTAACAATAGTTTCATTGCCGGCTACTTGTTAAGGTAGGGTAAGTCCAGCTCCCACTATTCCCCCCCCTCCTTCTTTTTCCCCCTCCCCGAAAGTGATAGTTTGCTTGCCGGCTACTTGTTAGGTATTGTACTTATCATGGAGAGTGATTTCTTAAGCAGTGGGTAACCTGTCTATCTTTCCAGCTTGGATGACAGAGAGGGTCACCTGCCAATCAACGCGTAGAATTGAAGGAGACGGACTAACGTTCTGAGATGTCCCAAATTCTGATCCACTTACCTGTTTGTGTATGCAAGTAGCAGGATATAACCCCTCATCATTGCAGTGAAAAAAAAACCTGCTTTCCTGTCATCTGGAAAGATTAATCATGGCTATACTGTGAAGAACTAGCCAGTGGGTTGTAACCAACACCTGCGACCCCCCCCCCATCATCAGCAGCGGCTACGATTTCAACAACACGCTGTCACCAACACCAGACACCCAAGTTTTATATATATTAGCGTTGAATTCAGATATTTATGTTTTTCATTTTCTTTAATGTAGGATCAATATTTCATATTTAAGTGTTTTATATTTTATATTTTCTAAATAATAAAGTGTTTATGTTTGTCAGTTTTTATTCTTTTTCTATACATTAATTTTCCTGAGGAGGAGCCAGCCTTAGTAATACTGACTGAAGTTGTTACAGGGCTGAGTAAGCCTTCACAAACACCCTAACCCCCACCACACCCACCAACCTTTTTACCTTTAATTTTGTCACCTGTCGTACTGTCAATAAAAACCGCCACATATCCTCACAATCCCTCAAATCCCTACCACACCACCAACGTTGGGCATCCTTCATCACCCTGCCCACCCTAATACCCCAATCTCCCCTGCCCTTATATACCTCTGCTTAACATATAAAGTCATTATCCTAGGACCCAACGCCAACAGGCCGAGACCCCCTAGCCACACATCCATCATTACTACTTCCTTATGTAACCAAGCCCTCACAAACCCACACACACATACCTAAAAACCCTCCTCTGGATTTCCATAATGTCCTGTACCCTTAAAGGAAACACCTCAGCCACCCCCCACACCTTACTGTAGACAAGCGAGTTAATCACCAATACTCTCGGTTGTAATGCCACATCCCTTGCCCTCCTGCAATCTTGCACCTGCGCCATGTACCATACCCCACAAACCTTAATTCTATCTACTACTGTCCATCCCAACCCCCCAAGCTCCCACCAATCCAATTCCCCACCTCTAATAATTTGGACTTCATTAAATTGACTCTCATACTCGTAGCATCCCCAAAACTCTGAATTACTCCACCAACCTTCCTTAAAGCTTCCTCACCCATAACCATTACTGAAAATTTTCATACAGGTGAAATTCAATTTTCCCGCTATTATGAATGAAATACAGTGGACCCCCGGTTAACGATATTTTTTCACTCCAGAAGTATGTTCAGGTGCCAGTACTGACCGAATTTGTTCCCATAAGGAATATTGTGAAGTAGATTAGTCCATTTCAGACCCCCAAACATACACGTACAAACGCACTTACATAAATACACTTACATAATTGGTCACATTCGGAGGTGATCGTTATGCGGGGGTCCACTGTATTTGTTTTTCATCATGAAAAAGCGTTAAACCTGTAGGTCATACGCAGAAACCTGAATGATTGAAGAAATATCCTTGTTATACACTGTAAACTAGAATAAAATGCTGGGCTTTGTCCGCAGACTGTGCTTAGGAGAGTAGTCTTGCCAACGGTGAAAGCAAACTGTGAAATGTTAAATGTATGCAAACCCCATCATATAGTTTGCAGACAAACATGCTGCTTGAAATACAGAAAGAATAGATGATATCTTAAGGATGACCGATTAGTCACTCGCTTGTTCAGGCAACTACTGTTGCCAGAATTTCTTTATGGAAATCCCCAACACAAGTCAGGTTCATGGTGAAGTCAACGCCCAGCTCTTGTGGATACACATACAAACATTGCAAGCAATGTTTAAATTGCATAAGAATACATTTATAGATAGGTCAACCATCCACACACCTTGAATTTGTATTGATAAAGCCACTGGATGGAGAAACGTCTACGATAAAGATACCTAGATGTTGCACATGTGTCTAAATTTTCATCTCGTCGGTATTGTATACCATTCGTGTAGACACATCACATTCACATGGATAGATTAGTTGAAACATGCTTCTATTGCTTCCTCTAAGCAATTAAATAAAATTTATTAAGTATTTTCTTTAGGAGATAAAATGAAAAGATTTTGAATTTTGTAAACTGTGCTAAATGAATTTCCGCAAACATCGCGAAATTCGAAAAACCGCACCCCCTCTCTTGGCCCATACCTTACCCCAACACCCGACTCCTGAAGGGGCCGAGACATTTTGTTTTGAGAGATTTTAAAATTGAAGTTGAAAAATTATGGAAATTAATGTTTTCTTACCAAATAATAGTGCAAAATTCTGTCAACATGTTGATGCAATCAGCTTGTTTCTATCATATTTCTAAGTATGTTTTTTTTTTTTTTTCAAAATTGTAATTTTTATGTTTTTGCTGTCATCAAGAGGACATGTTGGCAATTAGTGTTTTTTTTTCTCCATAAATTACTATTGTAATGATTATTTCATTCTGAATACTCAACCTGGCAACTTCTGTAAGGACTAAAGTGAAATGCTAGGTTTGCTGTTTCTCGAATGCTATGGTAGGTAAAATTCAAAGAGATTAGGTACTGATGGCATGAAAAGAGCATCTTAAGGTCCACCCCTGCAGAGGGCAGAACAGAAAAATTTAGTTAGGGACTAGGTATATAGAGGAGGAGGAGCAGGGTTGTAAACAAACTGAAATATTTTTAGAGGGTTGTGTGGTCGTCTAATGGTTTGATCAAGGTACGTTGTCCATGAGTCTTGGTGTGTTTCCAGTTGGTCGATTTGCCTGTCGCTGACCTTTCCAGAAGACGTTCAACGCCTGGTTCTTCTCCTGGTGTGCAGAGACTCACTAGTAGCGAAGTACCTCCACACTACGCCCAGCACTCAGCGCAGTGCACGGTTCTTGATTCACTGTAATTTCAAGACAGGAAGAATGAGTATCAGACAACAATCTATCATACATACTGCTTTTTCAGAAGCCTGTGTAATAGATTGTTGTATGTGTGCTCTTTGCGTGTCTGTGTCTGTGATGTGTATATATTCATAATTGTATGAGAAGTTGGCGTTATCTATGTGTTGTTTAAATGTGTCCCAGTCTGCTTGGGAATATGAAGGATGATAATTGGGTTTGATATGATGTGAAGGGTGATAGAAATGTGATCAGAGCTAGAGAGAGGACATGATGTAATGTGGTGAAGATAGAGTCTGGCTCTGTTTGTGGTGATAATGTCAGGTTTGTCTTGGCCTCTGTGGCTAAAGAAGGTGTTGAAGTGTGGGTAAAGATGCATTAGGTGTGTTTGTGTAATTAGTTGCTGTAGTTGCCTGCCGTGTTGGTTCATGTAAGTGTCATGGAAGGCTGTATGTTTAGCGTTCAGGTCGGCAAGAAGATATGCAGCTTTGATGGTGTGATTAAACAGAAGGAACCCCGAGAGACATTTTCACACTAGGTAAAGCTTCTGTCACTCCTTTGCTAACCAAGTGGTTAGCATGACCTACTTGTAAGACACAAGAGTGGCATTGGGATATTTTAATGGGGAAAAGCTTATCCGGGAATGACTTCCTCGGTCAAGAAATTCATACGTGTTTTCTCATTAAAATATCCTAATACTGAGAATGAAGCTTATTTCACATATACGTCTGTCGCTTGACATTGGAAGGATTTTCATATCCCCATCTACGCAGGATGTCGTTGTCGCCTGTTTGTTTTTATTCAGTATTATTTCAGTTTGTTTTTAATATACAGTTTTGTTAGTTTTAATGTAACTTCGTTGCTCATTCCACTAATTTTCAGCACAACCCATTAAAGGTACTGATTAAATTAATGTGTAAGGTATTGTTTCTCCGAAGAAACTACATGTTATTTTAATAAGCTATCACTGTCTATCTTCATCAATTCATTGGTTTTCGCTCAGTTTATGTCACCATTTCCTCTTGAGTAGATAGACTGAGTAGTGTACCACCACCATGAGTAAAGCATTAATGACACGATTAAAATCATAACATCAATAATATTTTATTTAGCATTTTATTTCACAGATGGCGCTTTATTCAAGAAATATAGTGCCAACTCAAGTCACTGAGGTAAGTGGTCACGAGAGATCATACTAACTGTTTGTAGCTATTCTTGGAGAATTAGTGTGGGTTGTTATGATGTTACATTGGCTTGCTTCTGTAGTGAATAAGAATTATAGCTCTGGGCGTTAATGGAGAAGGTTATACTTCTCAAGAAGAAAAATAAAAAATTAAAATTTCATTTGGATATGTGTGATAACGAGGGAGAAGTGGTTGATGACTGCGAAAGAAAGGATATAAACAGTAACGAGGAAGACGTTGTTAGCAGCATCAAATAAGAAGTGGTTTGCAGGAAAGGGAGAAATCTAAAATTATGGAAGGTACAAGAAGCTGACATAAAAATGGAAAATCTCTTTTCTGTACTCCAGGACGAATGTTCTTCAGTGGTCAAAGAGGATGAAGGTATCCTAAACTCCTCTACTAATAAAAGTAAGACTGTTCTAATTGTTGGCATTCACAAGCAAGATATATGGACCGAGCATCTGTAGCAAAGATAGGAAGGTAAGACAGAGGGTATGATTTCCTAGAGCAGGTACTGGAGACATAATTGGTTGGATAACATCATGTCAGGTAATGGAAACGACCTCCATTATACGTCACAGTACTGATAGAAACGATATTGGGAATGGCAGAAAGCAAATGTTATTAATTATCAATGTTGCACAATTGACTCTTTCATCAACTTGTCTTTTTTTACTTCATTTATACAACTGGAGAACATACAGAGAAGGATGACAAAATTATGCCGCTATATAAATAATCTCTCATACTAAGATAAATTCAGAGCCTAGAGCCTTCACTCTCCTGAGAGACGTAGAATGTGGGGAGATATCACTGAAGTGGAAGACAGGCATAAACAATGGCGATATAAATGAAGTACATAGGATATCAAATCAAGCAGGAACTCGAAATAACAGATTTACAATAGAAAAATTTAGATTTAGTAAGAACGTAGGAAAGTACTAGTTTTTAAACAGATTTGTCATTGAGTAGAGCAATATGCCTTGTAGGGTCATAAAAGCTAAAACCTTGCTGAGCTTTAAAAAGATAATTCACAAATATATGAGTTAGAAGTTGTAGGTTTGACTAGAACCTAAGGTATTGAAGCAAACTCATGGGAGAAGGTTAAACTTTGGGAGAAGGTTAAACAAATTGGAATGGTTGTTATTAAAAGGACCTGCCTGGTATGGGCCAGTAGGACTGCCGCAGTGTTAATCCATTTTTATGTTCTATCATGGGCTGAATTTCTGTTGCTAGTCCGTACTGGGGATTCACTGATGCCGCCGTAGATGCTGTTCTCACTGTCATGGTGCGATTCTCTTCTTTCTTGCAGCTCCTCCAAACTCACAGTCTCGTAGATATGTTCATCTGAGTATGACTCTCTTCCTCCTTGTAGCTCGTCCAAACTCACATTCCCGTAGACCGGGTCGGTCGGGTATCTTGACTCATTGTGTGACGGTGAGTGGTGTGGTGTCTTGTTTCTATCGCCTCCTGAGAATGTTTTCTAATAAATGTGTCTTCTGTATAAGCAGCTAAAATAATTATCTTAATGGCACTTAGTTTTACAGCAATAGGAATAATACACTTTTATTGACTGATATATCTTATACTGTTTAGTTATTGTGGAACTACTTTTATAATTTTTTTGCCTCTAAAATTAAATGAGAAAATGTTGTAAGACTTCATACCAACAGCCAATGGTTAGTTTACAGTATTAAAAAATATTATTAACATTTATATTTGCCGTTACACGTAAGTAATATGCAGTGACGTTATATGCATAAACTCGACAAAACTTGCTTCTTATTTAGTGGTAGATACCAGAACTCGCCCAAACACTATCATACACTGGTATATCAGAGTTTGTGAACATGATAACGTTATACAATGTCGACAAGTTGATAAGTAAGATATGTGTGCAACAGTTAGGTATCTTTATCCGAAACGTTTCGCCTCCACCACAGGCTTTTCAGTCGAATAAGGAGGAGTCTTTACATATTTACTACTGCTGGGTTCTCTGTATTACACGTTTCAGCTACCTAACTGTTCCACATGTGTCTTATTATATCAGAGGTTAGTCATAGATACATAACATGTATGTAGATCAGCCTTAGTTCAGAATGCCGTAGATCATCTTTCTAGCAACTAGAAAATGTATCTTTTCAAAATTAATTCTTTCAAAATTAGAGTTAATTTTGACCATTCGATTTGAATATTCGGTGCAAAATCAACCTTCTTGGTTGATTTTGTACCGAATATTCAGGCATTTTGCAATCTTGCAAAATTCTGTTGATCTATACAAGACAGGTCATTCTCAAATCTAATATTTCTCAGAATATTACAGTTATTCTATAACTTACAATTTCATCAATAAGTAAATATTCTGGATGTAATATGCAGATACACTCATATGGCATGCAAAGAGTATGTCACCTTATTCTGCGTATATGCAAACTCTCATATAGGCTACCTCCCAACCAGCGAACCAGGTGCTAAGGGTTTAACGATTAAGGGGGCCCCATCGTTAAATCAGTACCTTGGTTCAACTAATCATATAGCTGGGTCGGAAAATTGCTGATGTGATGTGGTGTCACTCACACTCAGGTCTTGTCACTCTCAGACTTCTGCTGGTTGAGCACGGTTGTCTCGCCCTGGCTGCTGTTGTTGTTGATGCCTCGACTTATCGTGTTGTACACTCATATTTCAATCTCTTGTATATAGTGTACATAGCTATAAATATATATACATACTTGGTGAAGGATAACACAATTCAAAGATTACTGCTGTGTTTATTTTCGCTCTAAATCCCTTTACGACCCAGGATAATAGGCCTTTCTCACCTGGGTGCGTAATAACTCCTAAGAAAATTGTAGTTTATAATCATTATAACTACTAATGTTAGTCATTTATTAGGTAACATCCTCATCGCATTTTTGTTACTTTATCTAGCAGGTATAAAATGTGTATATAATCTCTCTATTTTAGAAGTCATAAAATTGAATTTTCAGCAACCTGCCATTGAAACAAGTTACAAGACTATACATAATCTTTAAACTTAATTATTTCGATTTATATAATTGATTATAACCACACCATGAGTCACTATCAATTTACACTCGATTGTTTGTGTTTTACACAATAATCACGTGTTTTGTGTATTGCCTTGTTAAGCTCGATCTTCAAAGAATCTTCCAGGCTGGGAGAAGTATATGAGCATGTCTGAAAATTTAACAGATGTGATATCATGTCACAAAGGAAGGTGGTGATGGCGGTTTATTCATAAGGTAACAACACAGCTTTTCCTAACATGGGTCATAATCAGATAATGACTTGTTCAGTGGTTAATCTTCACCTGACTTATCAGAGTTAAGTTTACACCCCATAAAAAAATAAAAGATTTGCATGTAATGATGAATCCCAAGATAAGATATTAATAAATGAGTCATCTTACTGAAGAATCACCACATCTTAAAAATCCTTTTAATCTCGCTAGAGGTCAAAAAAATGATGCTACATCATAACACTGCTAAGTGAATAATAAGTTTAAGCTACAGTTCTAGAAGCATTGGATCATTATTTTATTAATGTTGAAATTATTTCTGGCCTCTCTGGTCTTATCACATATACTGATGAAGCAGTATACTGAATTAGCCTTCACCTCGGCCTCATCCAACTCACTGCACTTTTTACCCCCGTCCCGCTGAGAGTAAGTGCTTCGTAACATCTGTAAATACAGCCCTATATCTTATCTGTGTATTCAGCTTTCACCAGTGTCCCGTAGATCTACGTCATCTTAATTCGCCAGTCAATTAACCATAAGATTTCGTATGTCGTGATGATGTCTCACTTTGTCCTACATCCCTCTCAGATTGTCAGAATAATTCCCTTCAAACTCACTTCTCATATTATTCCTCTCAGTACTGGTACTAGCCTTTTTGCAAACGTTTGGACATTTTCGTGTTTCTTCAATGCTTTATCAGGTATAGCCTCCATGCTAGGACCAAAAATTCAATGATTGGGTTAACACCTGCCGCATATTAGGTTCTGAAGTCGTCTCCAGTCAAGTTCCTGAATGCTATTTAGAGGTTTGATAATCCTGCATAAGCTGCTGACGTTAAACGGGTTCAATACATTTCTGGCAATATGCTTGATGTTCTAGTTACCTCCACGTTATTCTCACTCTCTGATATTTGCAGATCCTTTGTATCAAAATAATACAATATCCAATCTGTCCAGACCTTCTCAGGTTCGTATGAGTTTGCATTTGTTGCTGAGCTCGAATAGCCACTTGTTTGACCGAGTCTATAGCCTACAAAGCTTTCCACTGAAGTAATTCTTTCTCTTCCCCTGTTCTAGACCTTCCCATTTGCTTAAAGAAAAACAAGAAAAGCAAAAGAAACACATAGAACTCAATCCACTCTAGCATGAAGTATATGCATTTTAGTATCATTAGCGGGCCTAGTACTGACTCTGGGGAAACCCGACTCTTTACTTTCCTCCATCTTGAAGTTTCATCACTCACTCTTATTTCCCTCCTTCAATCATTCAAGAATCCCAGACCATGCGGAATACTGTTTTTCAAACCTGCCTGTTTCTCTGATCTCTGGAATAATCTTTGGTGTGCTTTCCTGCAGTCCACTGAAAGGCAATCTACCAAGCAGTGTCTTCCTTGTTTAAACTCTATGTCTGTGTTACAAAACTCCAGCAAATTTCTAGAGCAGAATTTTCCATCCCTGTATCCATGATGGTTCTCTGTAAATAATCTACTTGTAGTTCTAGTTCAGAGCCTCTTGTCATTCCTCATTATATATATATATATATATATATATATATATATATATATATATATATATATATATATATATATTTATATATATATATATATATATATATATATAAAATATATATATATATATATAAAATATATATATATATACATATATATATATATATATATATATATATATATATATATATATATTTTATATATATATATATATATATACTATATACTATATAGTTCCTTGATAATGTGAGTAGTCACGAAAGCGCTTGGAATTTCTCTATTTTTTCATAGTGGTTGTTTTGCATATTCCGAAATCACCTGTTTACTGTGATCTTATTGCATATATATATATATATATATATATATATATATATATATATATATATATATATATATATATATATATATATATATATATATATATATATATATATATATATAAGGAGGGAAGAGTATATGGAGAAAAAGAGAGAGGTTAAGAGAGTGATGAAGCAATGTAAAACGAGAGCAAATGAGAGAGTGGGTGAGATGTTATCAACAAATTTTGTTGAAAATAAGAAAAAGTTTTGGAGTGAGATTAACAAGTTAAGAAAGCCTAGAGAACAAATGGATTTGTCAGTTAAAAATAGGAGACGAGAGTTATTAAATGGAGAGTTAGAGTATTGGGAAGATGGAGGGAATATTTTGAGGAATTGTTAAATGTTGATGAAGATAGGGAAGCTCTGATTTCGTGTATAGGGCAAGGAGGAACAACATCTTGTAGGAGTGAGGAAGAGCCAGTTGTGAGTGTGGGGAAAGTTCGTGAGGCAGTAGGTAAAATGAAAGGGGGTAAGGCAGCCGGGATTGATGGGATAAAGATAGAAATGTTAAAAGCAGGTGGGGATATAGTTTTGGAGTGGTTGGTGCAATTATTTAATAAATGTATGGAAAGGGTAAGGTACCTAGGGATTGGCAGAGAGCATGCATAGTTCCTTTGTATAAAGGCAAAGGGGATAAAAGAGAGTGCAAAAATTATAGGGGGATAAGTCTGTTGAGTATACCTGGCAAAGTGTATGGTAGAGTTATTATTGAAAGAATTAAGAGTAAGACGGAGAATAGGATAGCAGATGAACAAGGAGGCTTTAGGAAAGGTAGGGGGTGTGTGGATCAGGTGTTTACAGTGAAACATATAAGTGAACAGTATTTAGATAAGACTAAAGAGGTCTTTGTGTCATTTATGGATTTGGAAAAGGCCTATGACGGGGTGGATAGGGGGGCAATGTGGCAGATGTTGCAGGTGTATGGTGTAGGAGGTAGGTTACTGAAAGCAGTGAAGAGTTTTTACGAGGATAGTGAGGCTCAAGTTAGAGTATGTAGGAAAGAGGGAAATTATTTCCCAGTAAAAGTAGGCCTTAGACAAGGATGTGTGATGTCACCGTGGTTGTTTAATATATTTATAGATGGGGTTGTAAGAGAAGTAAATGCGAGGGTCTTGGCAAGAGGCGTGGAGTTAAAAGATAAAGAATCACACATAAAGTGGGAGTTGTCACAGTTGCTCTTTGCTGATGACACTGTGCTCTTGGGAGATTCTGAAGAGAAGTTGCAGAGATTGGTGGATGAATTTGGTAGGGTGTGCAAAAGAAGAAAATTGAAAGTGAATACAGGAAAGAGTAAGGTTATGAGGATAACAAAAGATTAGGTGATGAAAGATTGGATATCAGATCGG